ACGCACACCCCTGTTACCAGGGTATGTGTAACCCCGTTACATCTTCTGCTTTAGGTGCTCTAACGGAGCATTTTTTATAGTTTGAAAACGCCTTTAGCGCGCGCTTTTTGTCTCATGTCCTTGCGAAGCAAAGTGCTGCACGCCCTCAGCAACAGCAAATTAATCTCGACCTGCATGCCCTGGGGCAAATAGGAAAATTTGTTCATCCTCACAGAGGATCAGTAGGCGTAGATGACTACGAGTGCTACCAAGTGCAGCGGGGTTGCCGTAGCTCTTAGCTTAGTGGAAGCTTACTAAGGTCAGCGACCTTACGTTCCTTACCAGAACCAGTACGAGTGTAGCGGATCGCGAACCGCTACTAACCAAGGCAAAAAAGTCTTCTGTTTGAAATTGAAAACTGTATTCAATACAGTTTTTTTTCCTTACTAAATAGTAAAACCTGATTAATATTAATATGCATAACTACTCGGTTCTTGTTACGGTGTAACCACACCATTGTGTGATTACATCGACTTGTCCAAAAAGCTCTTCAAAAAAAATCTAAGTTATGTGGATCAAGTCTACATGTAAGTATTTTCTATCTCAACGTTGTCTCTGCTGCTGCTTCAACAGATGCGAAAGCACCATGTTTCTCTTGCACTAACCACACATCGTCGACGACTTGTCCGAATTTTCCTCGAGCTGCCGGATTCTCCAGATCAGCTTCTATCTGCTGCCAGTGCAGATGCGTGGCGTTTACAATTTCCATTCGAGAGTATCCAAAAATAGAGTTACGGAAAGCATCCCAAATCGCGGAAGGTTTCTCGAAAGACTTTCGCATGATCGACGTCAAGTATTGCCCTGACGCACCAGTCAAAATGTGCGTGGTAGCACGCATGTTACGAGTTCGTTTCCAAGTCTGCGACTTATATACATCGAATGCTCGCTCGTAGTTGTGTTGGTGACCACATAAATACAAATCGACTCCATGCACGAAAAATTTGTCTTCAAATTTGTCTCGCAAAAAAGCAGCTTTAACACCGCAATTAGTGTCGTCCGAAGTACAATACATCGGGCGATGTCCAATCACCACAAGCCAAGGTGTCTGCTTACGATTTTTATTGGCTTTCGCTAGATCTGATTCCAGCCACGCTTCTTGCCGAACCTTCAAGTTTCCGTCCACATCAAATGTTTTCTTGAAATAAATTTCAGTCGAGATAATTGCAAAGTGTACAAGTCCAACGTCAAAAGAGTAAAACCAATTGTTTGGAACTTCTTCAAGCTTTGCATTTTTTGAGCGTCCACCAACATGCACAGTCTGCAATCCTTCGTTCTCATTATTTGGCATGAGTCTAAAGCGATGCGAATAGTGGCTGAACATATTGTGCATTTCGTGGTTTCCTGGACACACCATAAAAGGCACACTGGCTGCAATTGGTTCAAGTTCTTGCATAAAGATATCTCCGACGTGACCGTTCATCATGTTTAAATCATATGCATAGTCACCGACAGACACTACGCCATCTACGACTCCTTCTGCAACCTCAGCCTGCATCATTGGCAAGGCAGCCGCATTCTGGTAGCCTATGTCTCCTGTAATCAGAAATCGAATCACTTTCGGATTTTCTCCAAGAACAAAGGGCGCTGGACCGGTCTTAGTGACATATGGAATGGACCATGACGCGTAGTGAGCATTGCCCACGACGTAAGTATATCGCGTGTCTACTTTCAAACCATTTAGCCTCACCACATGCAGCCATCGCTTGGACTGTTTTTCACCATCATCCTCGAACAACGTCGAGTTTGCCCAAGCCACCACTGGTGTCATATTCGGCCCTTCAGTTTCAATACGGGCATGATAGCCTTCTATCATTTGTATCTGAGCCGTTCCCTCTCCGCAAAATTCCTTTGTCATCCACTGCACTGCCAAACTTCCCGCTGTATGACCATAAGCTGTATGCACGTGCTTTGGTCGACATCGTTCTGACGCATCACCTCGAAATGGGGTACTTATTCCCAAACGATGTGTTGCCGACCACCCGTGGTAAACAGAACCGACTATAAATTCAAAGCCAGCATCCTTGTTCTCCTTTGAAAGGTCAATAAAAGCCGTATGTGTCGTAAATGTGGCTTCTTCCGCTGTGTATGTCATCGCTTTCTTGCTAGTAAAGGGCATAATGCTACTGTCAGAGGAAAGGATGGTGTCATTGTCACCCAGTCGACGATAGCGCACCTCAACTCCGGCAGCCACATCGGAACACGAGCGCCAAGGGTTAGCGAGTGCGGGACTTCGATCATGTTCCTTTTGAAGCTTCACCGCGCGAATATAGGTTCGTCTAGTGGCCCATTCCACGACAGCACGCGTACCTACGATAGATGAGCGGATATCGTACGGTACACAGTTTTCCACTTCCCGCTTTCTAAAATTGTCAGCATGTAGAGGATCTTGCTCTCGCGCAGTCACTGAATCCCGTGGAGGTAATGAGCCATCAATCGTAGACACACTGGTAAGTACCACAGCCAAGAGGAGCAACTGGAGGCCTAATGGTTTCGGTGCCATTCCGTTTTTAATGCAACACGTCTAACCTTACTCTTAGATTCGAAAGAGCTTAAATCTAGTATATACCGAATCTTTGCCTGTTCAGCAAAATTATTGGCTATAAATTTAAAATTTAAATCAAACGACATCTTCATTCTGTTACTTGTCCAGCAAAATCGCTGGTCTTTTTCTTTCTACAATCACAACGAACTTGCACGTATTGCAAGTGACCTTTCTCTTTTTCTGTTTCGCGATCGGTGGGATCCATTTATTTAAGGCCAGCAGGATCCCAGCGTGTTGGGCTATCGATTTTCCGCCTACCCTTCGTCAGGGAATTCTTCAAGCATGTTTGGCACCTGCTGAGATAGGTTTTCATGTTCTTTGACGCTCTCTGAGAACCGTAATTGCTAAGATAATATGATCAAGAAGATCCAGAAGCTGACCCTTACAACTCTGGGTAGCGATCGGCATTGGAAACTGTGCCCTGTGAATGAACGTCGCTCAATTGAAGCGCACTACACCCAGCAGATTCTAGTGGATGATGCGCCAGGGGGGCCCGTTCACAATCCCAAATATTAAAAGCAGATAAGATAATCAGTCGGAATTGTCACTGGTACCTCTGTCTAACTTTTGCAAATTTTTACCTGCCCAATTACCATGTGCCAAGCAAACTACAGGAAAGACTTTATTTGGAGACGGCTGAGCAAAGGCTCATATCTTCATGTATTTTTGCTGGTGCTGAATCTCGTAAATTGCGCCTAGTTCATCGCGATAAACGTGTTCAATCTGTGATGAAACTGTTTTGATCATGCGTTACGCAGTTTTCCCTCTAAATATTTAAGTATGTTCAAAGATGGCAAGCTACAGATAAATAGATGCTCTTATGGGTCACTGGATAACCTCTGCAATATGATTCTGGCCCATTGCTCATCAATTCACATTATTGCCCCCGACTTGCCTTTACATGCATTTCGCATATTCGTAAGTTTGATCCCAGCAAGATGGCTTGACAATGCTTTGCAAGAATCTCCTCAATATAATACTAAAGAAAGACTGAAGCACAGAAATACGCGATCAGGACAAACACCCTGGCTGATAGTCCAATAAGCCCAAGAGCAATGGTGTAAATGTATAAGGCTGTGCAGTCGAATCCATGGAGCAGAGGGAGTCCATTTTTCTTGTGCATCTCAACACAAGAAAACGGCCCTTGACTTCTTCGTTGTAATAAATTTACAACCGAGTAAAATTTGCGCATTGTGGATGAAATCAGAGCGAATAGTTACCTGGTGCTGTTTGTCAATTTTAGTCCCCACGGCGACCTCTTCAGTTCTCTTCAGATTTCGCCGTTGTTGGGGTGAGGGAAATGTGTGACAGTGTTGATCTTACAACGAAAACAATTAGAATTAATGTCTGAAACAGCTTTAGAAAATCTTATCTCAGGAGTTATTGACATATCGAAATAGTCCATGCACATCTAAAGCATGAATTCTTCAGTTGACCGAGAAACTTGTATCAAATAGCACACAAATTTGTACTCATGTGATTCTCTTTAAGCCATCACATGAGATATGCACAACCCGTGCCGACTTACTATTCAGCATTCGATTGCAGAAACTGAGTGGTAAATTTACTCGGCAATGTATGATTCTCTCCAGCGAATCGGATCTAAAGAAGCGCATTAGCAAAGAATCCAACGTTGAGGCACGCACGAGTCTCCGCAATGCGCTTTTATCTCATTGGCAAGGTACATATACCGTTTTTTCGGGCTGTTCATTTACTGAAATCAAAGATAGGTTTAGTTGTGTAGGTCTAGAAAATCGCTCAAATGTGTCATTTCTCCATCGACAGTCTGTGCAACAAGTGCAAATGCCCGAGTCTATTGGTTTCGAAGCTTAAATAAGTTAAGCTCCGATTGCAGCAGTTATAGCAGTCAACAATCGAAGCCTTCGGGTGCAACGGAGCAAGTACTGTAATCCTGTGTTCGTGGCCCTTACATATTTGGTGCAATTGGTTCACACAATATACGGTACATTTGTACAAAATGTATTACTCAAGGTGTGATTATGAATATATCGATATTTATAAAGAGTCGAGGTATACGTGGGCTGCAAGTCGTTTAAAAAGCAATATTATTATGAAAAAAGTATAACGCATAGGGGATGTATTCGATAAACCAGAATAAATTCATAGTTCATACCCTTTAAGGTTCTCAATTTTGCTCTTAAGCGCATTTAGCTTGTTAACATGGACCGGAGGGTCCATGCTTTTTCTGTGCATAGTGCACAGCAACCTCGTTGCACTTGGTAGCATTTGTATTCTATACCAATACCGAATAGTGAAAAGAATGTTTCCTCTGCGAAAATGGGACATGATATGTTCGGGTACCTGTTTCCAGGACAAAGCGAACAAAGTAAAACGCTGACCATGGGTCTCGAGGGAATGAAGACTAGAAACTGACAAACAAAGGGCTGGAAGCATGATCAAGGCGCTCACCATTTTTAGGAACGTGCAGGTGCAATACGTCCAGTGCCCCAATTGGTCGCTGGTGGAAGAACAGACAGGCTCACTATGAGGTCGCTGATGCTGAACAAGAAGAAAATATCTTCCGCTGAGTAAGAATATTTGAGATAGCCATCGATAGAGCGTTCAAACGGAGCGAAGGCGCATCGTGCTTGGGATCTCCAATGAATAAGCTCGCGCGCGAAATCGCGCAGTAAAGGCGCTTCATACGGTGGACAATTTAATGTGAAGATATTGCGAGCAGCTTGACGTGTCGTGTTTATTCGAACATTCTGTTTTTACGTCGAGGGATGCCAAGATTAAACTTGAGGGATTATGTCCAGGGGTTACGATAACTCATCGCCGTCTAAGAGGCAATCACGGTTTTGATCTTCACAGACGGTGCAGCGGAACTGCCGTGGCTTTGCGCTTGAGGAAGCGAAAATTAAGTCACCGACCTCTCGTTCTATATCCAGAACAAGCACGAGTTTAGCGAACAATTAGCCTTGGGTTTAGATTCAAAACTGACTTCATTTATTTTTATCTGCGGCAAAGCCGCCTAGTTTTAAATGCATAGATTTTTTAAATATGTTTGGTAAAATCTAAATACATGTATAACTACTGGCTATCCAGCCCCGTACCATATTCTTGTGTGGGTGTGGTCACACCTCGCCCATCTGGTGTGACTCACCCCTGTTAGCAGAGTATGTGTAGCCCCGTTCCGTATTTTTGTGTGGGTGTGGTCACACCACGCCCATTTGGTGTAACACACCCATGTTACCAGAGTATGTGTAGCCCCGTTACACTCTACCCCATAAAGATTGAGAACATTTACAGTTCCAATCGATTATTTCCTCAACGAGGCCTGTTTGTCCGTTAGAAATGCGCTGGAACGAAACGACTGCCGTGCTCAATGAGCCCTTTGTCAATGAGACCGAAGTCTCCAAGTCTCGCTGGTTCCGTCAGCGTTCACGGGCAGAGCCCAGCTTAATCTCCCGCACATGGTGCCATGTCGGACCGTGTCTCCGCGGCATCGAGGGATGTAAATCCTAAGCTTGACGAGCACGAGCGTCGCGCTCCGCGCACGATTTCAGTGACGAGTGACCTCGTTGGGGATGTGGAAGTGGTTGACTACGAGTCTGACACTCCTTTTCCCGGATGGAATGACGAGGAAGGCGAGCCGCACCAGCGACGTGAGACGAGCCCTGATAGCGCCTTGCGGATTCCATGTCTGTTTCGTGAATTCTCGTCACCTGAGAAACGTGGTGTAATCACCAATGATCTCGATAAGGCACAGAAGCGGCAGCCGGAAGCTGCCCGTAAGGCGGCTCTGATGCGCGCCCATCCACGGTCGGTCATTGACCCTCGTGTGGAATTCGGCTTCCGCCCAGCGGATCCCGCTGTGGAAGCGAAGGATGTGGTAACTTGATTGTTACGCCTCCATATCATCGCCCCCTGATCATTACGGAGGATGAGCTTGCCGAACGGAACGCCTTTCGAGCTAGTTTTTGGTTCCAAAAGAATTTCCGTTGAAAGCTTATCGCACTCGTCTGCGTGCTCAA